CAAAATGAGCTGCAACCAATGCCATATCCAACTATTTTCATTACAGTCTTGAACAAATAAGTCGTAAGCAGCATTAATTCACTAACCAGGTGCTACAAAACAGTCATGACCTAGAGATGCATGCACGCTAGCTCTCCCTTCATATTTGTTCTCTTCTGATTCTTCAGCTACCATGTATCAGCCATCAAAACAGCTTTTTAAAATTTTGATGGGTAGGAACTGGTTCAATGACTTGGCATGGAGAGACACAGAACAGGAAGAGATAAAAACTGGAGTGAGGGAAGGAGATTATTGCTTGTGTGTTCTCAGTCAGATTGACACAGCACAGATAATACAGATGTCATGGCCCAGTCCTGCATACAGCATTGCACACCAGCAAATGGATCCATGATGATGCAGTAGCTTTACAGCACAGCTGATGTTGAGCTTGAGAGACTCTATTACATTGAGATGTGGCTTTCTGGAAAGGCCTTCAGCAGGAGACCAAAAAAACCTGACACAGATTATGTAGGATTCAGTTGTCTCTGTAGTTTGCTCATTTTATACACAGTTCCAACAAGTCACTGATGTTGACTCAAACCTATGGTTCTGTATTTGACAGCATAAACCCCCTTTGCAAGGGAGCAGAATGGCAGGGCTGAGCTGTTTCAGTTTTCTTACAGGATACTGCAGTGGCTACATGGTGTACAGAGCGTCAACTATTAAAAAGTACACCTATCTTTTAGGAATTGATAGGCAAAATAGAGTTTTAAAAGCAACTGATGCACCTTTGACAATTTCCCTCCCATTTATTAGTCCATCTCCCTCTAACCTTTCAACATTTCCTGAAATGTTGAAACTAGTTTTCTCTAGTGATATGGCCTGTTTCTATTTTGCTTGTGCATGAAAGCTGTTGAAAGTTACTGATCGTACATCACCCTGTAGCTATGCTTAATTATCATTCATTAAATTTATTCTGCTCACAGAAGCATCCTAAATGGTAAGCAAGAAAAGGATTTGTTTCATGACAAAATTGGTCCATACCAAACAACATTTCATTTGTCACTTTAATCAACAAGCACACAGAGTAGATGGTTTATTTAAACAAACCACTTGAAGCAATAGCTGTCCTCTTTCAAAAGCTGACTGAAACTGAAAGGCTGATGTCTATAAGAAGTTATTCTCCTCCTACATTCACAGCATTGTTTCTGAAATCTGCCAGGTATATGTACAATGGAATGTGTGAAATGACAATAACAGACTTAGAATGGAATCCCATAATCTCCCAACATCCACTGGGGATGATAGGATTATTCAGAGACCTAGCTCTGAGGTCCTCCCACCACAGAGTTGGGACTGTCTGAATGCAGAGCCCCCCTTGACAAGTGGCACAGAAAAAGCAGCACTGACTGCCTCTCTGAAGACGCACTGACCTCAGAGAGGGCTAAGGCAGTGTGCTGGGGGTGGGGAGCAGCCTGAAGCCTGGGATGATGCCAAATCCAAGCAGCTTCCCAGCCTCCTGTCTTCCCTCTCCGCAGTGTTTCATCTAGATGGATGAAAATGACTCCTGAGATGAAATAGAGGGTGCGAGGGGCCAGAGCAGTTGGAATTGCCACTGTGGTGCCTTGCACTTGCATTGGAGGCATGGAAATTGCTGTGTTTGCAAGCTTATATCCACTGAGAAAGGACAACATAAAACAGTTCCCTCCAGCAGGCTTATCCAAATCTCCAAATAGGGAAAATTCAAAGCACATGAATTTCACACATTAGGTCAACCTACTTCACATTCAAAGTTTACAGTGGGGGAAAAAAGCGTATGCTTTCTGATGCAAACTCTGCTGAAGCTCCATTTGCACTAAGATGAGGACTTTGGGAATTGCAATCTCAAACTGCATATAGGTAAAGCTATGTCCAGATAGCAGCTTCCATACTCTCAGTATGGTGGCTGCTTGTGAAATTAAATAAAGACCAGAAAAACTGGGCACCCAAATCTATCTGTGGTTAGGTTTCATTTGCAATTATGTTCTAAAATTATATTAGAAAAGGTTTTCAAAATCCAGACACTGCTTTCAGGACAAGTCATAGTTTAACATAATATGCACAGGTAAGATGAAAATAGTTGTCAAGAACAGTACACCTTCTTAAATATTCAAATTACCAGTTAATGAGAGACCCGCATAAGAAGAGGCTGTCACAGTTAGATTTGTCTCTAGTGATCAGAGAAACCACATTAACACAGATTAAACAAAGAAAAAGCTCTTCATACTTAATTCTTTATGGCTTTTTGCAACACAGCAAAGTATTACAGCTTAAAGCAGACATCTCCTCACAGAGGAGGAAAGAATTTTGCAGTCAAAAATAAAATAGAAAACAACTAGTATGCTGACCCCTGTGTTCCTTTTGGCCAGATGCCCACTATAGCCTAATAAAAATTAGAAATGAACAATTACTATATTTGTCAAAAGTGAAAGAAAATGAATTATACTTAAGAACTTTAGGTCCCTTAAAGTATTGTACAGATAGACTGCAAAAATAGTTCATAACTAAAGAATGACAATTCTGGAATACTAATACCTACATAATATGCCCCAAACAGAATTCAGCATTATTTTATTTGCTTTTACTTTTTTCCTCTTCACCTCTTGTGAGAACTGGGAGGGGATGTGCCTCAGTGTTAAAGACCCAGTGTTCAAATGGAAGAAGATCATCTTCAGAGAATAGTAAGTATAGGTACCTGGTAAGAAATAAAAAGCGTATTCAACATGCTACAAAATTAGGAGGCTACACAGGAACATTAATGGAATTATTTTAACTATACATTAAAATGACTCTTTATATACAAAAATAATTACACAGCAATGAATGTACAAATAAGAATATAAATAGGAGCATGTGCTCTTGTGTGAATCTACATTTTAGTTCTATTCCTTTGCATCTTCTAGCTAGCGAAGTTCACAAAATTCCATTGTAAATTGGAAACCCAACAGAAAGCTGTTCTTCCTGACAAATTATTCCCCACAACAAGCATCCCAACTCCTTTCTGTTTGTAAGATCTCTTTCTGCTGCCCACTATCTTAACCCAAATAATTATTAAAGCATATTAACTTTTCAGTTGAAGAGTTTTAATTGCTTACTTGAGCGTTTCTGAAAGGAAGAAACTTTGTTGTACATCATCGTGGCTCTGATGGTTGCTGTAAACATCCCTAATGCCAGAATATCCTCCATCTACTTTGCAGTATTTTTCTAATGCCTAAATTTCAAAAAGAAAGAATTTGATGAGACAAAATTTTATAAAGCACCATGTCCTTCAATGTAAAACAATTCCAGGATAGCTTACAGCAAAGTAATAAAAGTCAAAGGTCAGGATCCAGCACCGCCTGCATGTTAGTGGGACTCAGTGCTAGTGCAACATGAAGCTAGTGCAACATGAAGCTAGTGCAACATGAACATGAATTGTGCAGCAATGGGAAATGAGTGTGGCCCTCATTTCCAGGGAGTCAAGAGGGCTTGCAGAAGTGAGATCTTCTGACTTGTCCCATTCTGGAAATGGACACTGCCGCTTGTTTCTGGAATTATACTGCAAGTGTTAGTTCCTATTTTCCACCAATGCAATGGAAACAGTGGAGGCACAGTAGGAGTACTGGATAGTGTCCAAAGTAATAAAGTGGTAATCACAACAGAAGCAGATAAAACAGAAGGATTAAAACTAATTCTTTCCAGCAATCAAATCCAGCTGCAATCAATAGAACAAGTTAATCATGACTATCTCAAGTTCCATTTGCAATTTAAGCTTGATTATCTTTCTCTGGATCTGTATGATATAATGGGCTCAAGGTAAATAACGGCCCACATCAGACTCAACAACTGTCCAGGCTTTTTTTCTTTTAACCATGAGATGTTGTGAACTAAGCAGCATGTGCAAGCAGGAGGAGCTAAACAACCTATGGGTTCCAACCCGTGCTAGTTTTCCCAAACAACCCAGAATTCCTAGTTTGAACATTTCAAAAAAAAAAAAAATCAGGGATACAGTGTGTTGTGTCATCCCAGACAGGCAGCCTTTTATGCAGGAACTGTCAACACTTAACTGCCTAAGCATGACAAGACACTGCCTGGGATCTTGGCCCTGTAAGTTATCATCAATTATATTAACTTAGACTGAATGAGGTTCATGAAGATGAAATGGTTAAGTGATAATATTAGTTAGTTTGAATTAATAGGGGAAAAGATTGAAAAGATTTTTTGTGGTATAGGGGAAGTTGGTATGATTATCTTATTACATGTTTATGCTCTTAATCAGAAGCAAGGAAAGTGCTAGCACATTTTTGAGGTTTTAAACTGCTATTAGAGGAAGAAATAATCATGATAGATTATTTCAGTGGTTTACTTAATCCTAAAATTGATCATTTCAAAGAATCTGCAAAGAATTCTGTACCTTGTTTTCTTAGAGGGATACAACTTTTCCACTTAATAAACCCAGAATCCTTATTTATTTATTCCACACCTAGACAAAGCTGAGTATCACTGTAGTTAAGAGTGTGAGGGACTGACGTGTCTTTGGAACTGGTCATTTTTCAAAGAAAATTTAATAGGGGATGTACAGAACTACATGGGGACACCTCCGAAGTTTCTTCAAGGCGAATATTTCTTTCTAGTTACTATAGTAGAGAGAGGGGGCTAAAGATGAATGTAAGTAAACTCAAAGGGTTAGAAGCTATGATTGAAGACACACGTAAGAGGAATTATTTATAGAACTAGGTAATTATAAAAACATTGGATCTATGGAATACACATTAGCCAAAAACATTACTAGATAGTTTTACAGTAAAACAGGAAATAAAGTAGACAAGCTGTTAACCAACAGACTCGAAGAAGAACAGAGATTCTAAGAGAGAGAGAAAGACAGAGAATATGAGAGCCAGTGTGGTGTAGTGGTTAAGAGCATGGGAAGACGATCTGGGTTCTAGTCCCTACTCAGCCATGGAGACAACTGGGTGACTTTGGGCCAATCACAGACTCTCAGTCCAACCTACCTCACAGGGTTGCTGTTGTGGGGATAAGATGGAGGAGGAGATGTAAGCTGCCTTGAGCCCTTTGTAGGAAAAAGGCAGGATATCAATCAATCAATCAATCATGATCCTGTGGAAAACTCAACAATTTTCTTAGAAACTGAATGGTGGTGAACAGTCATGAACCTTGGGAATAATTTGTGTCTTACTATAAAAGTTTACTTATGTCACTCAAACCAGATCTATGAAGAATTAAATAACTTTTAGTTAAGTTAAATGTCATTTCACTAACTGAGGAAGACAGAAATGAACTAAATCCTGAAAAGAAGTCCAAGAGGTTCAAGCCCTAATGAGATCATTAAATACAAATAAGTTTCCAGAAAGAGATGGACTTCTTCAAATTTGTAAGATTTTTAAAGATCCGTTCATAATGCCATTAAGGCTAGAGTCCTATTCACAGTTAACTGTGTAAGAACTACTGAACTCAACAGTACTTATTCCCGTTGCATTGTAAGGCTCCTAATTAAGATTTAAGGTCGCGTAAAATACTAGATTCACAGGAAGAGGCTAATATTGCCTTGGCACAGAAGGAAAGTAAGGTTAGCTTCTTCAGAATGTTGTACCGATCTTTCTTCATAATAAGGGCTCTAAGATTTTAGCTGCAATACTAACAAAAACTTTGAACAGTTATAGCAAAATATGATCAGAAACATTTCATAAGAGGGAAACTACTTCCAGACAATGCAAGAGAAGCAATTAACACCTTAGCAATTGGTACCAGAAGGAAAGGGAGAGTGGGGAAAAAGATATTGCCTTTTTAGATGTTTTTTTTTAAATGTTAAGGTGAAGTTATTTTTTTAAATTTAAAATCCAAGAAGAATTTAATTTTGGGGAGACATGAATTATGTTGAAGTTTTATTATCAAATACTGTGAGCACCTATTATCAGGCATCAGGATTTCTGAAACTACAGAGCAGGTATGAGAAAGGCTCGTTTCCCTCAGTGTTGCATTTGTAATGTGTTATTAAGAAGATCAGAGGATAGAAGATGAGTCAGGACAGGAGACAATGGATGTAAAATCAGTTTGGATGCAGCTGACAAAGTTATTGCTAATAAAACTGAAAATTTCAGTTCTGGAGGCAGTCATTCAAAAAGATATTAGCATATAGAACAATTTCATGATATAAAGTATGTTGGTATGTGTCTACTGGAAGAAACAAAGGACTTTTTAAAAAATCACAGTGTATTATACAATTGTTCAGTAAATCACGAAGACATTCAGAGATTAATCTGTCTCTAGTGGATCTATTAACATTAAATTACCAATATCTAATAAGAGAGTAGCTACCTATATGGTCTAAGTTAGTGTTTTGTGGCTGGAATAATCTGTATAAAAATGAATCTCATCTAGATTGCCTTTCCTTTTCAAAAATGTTTCTGTTGAAAGATTCTTAGCTGACAGTTTGAGAAGCTGGCAGAACATATGGCTGAGGTGTATTTGGAAAACCAAAATGTCAAGGGTAGAGGAAAGCATTTCAGAAAAGAATCCTATGAAAATGGGATTATGAGTTCCTAATGTAACATTTTATTATGCAGCCATGTTAAATTCTATTGCTTATGGGAACATAAGAAGAATTAACTCCAAAACAAATTATAACAGGAATGTTGCCAGCATCCTACTAGTGGTTCTGCGATGGTCACAAGACACATATGATACAAACTAAAGCTATTAAAAGAGTCAATACATATATTGAGGCTGTACTGGCAATTTTATAGGGAAAGTCCTCTCTAGGGCTTTATTGGCATTGCCTATAATGGCCTTATTAATTTAAGAGAGAATTGTAGAAAATTAATTACTACAGATGTAGTTCTACGTAAAGACCTAATAGGAGAAGCAAAGTGTCTCTCTTGTACAGTCATCAATTGGCTTTTTAAAGGAGATGCACCATTTTGGTTCCTGTATTCTCATGGTAGAGAGGGGGCCCACCTCTTGCACATTATAGTCTGCTCAGATGGATTTGTCAGATTCGGAGGTGGTGGTGGAGAGCAAGAGGGATGGGGCTGTTGACAGTTTCAAAGTTATTTAGTGAAGTTTCTCAGGCAGAGTATAAGAATCTTCCCACCTTGGAAAAGGAGGATGATTTTTCAGTGTGGGAGGCTCAGCAGATGCAGGAAGAGCTTCTTGACTCAAGCAGCAAGAGCCATCCTCAGGGTGGCCAAGTCAGAAGCTTTTCAGAATGGGAAGAAAGGCATGGAAGTTTCAGTTTTCAGATCCAACTCTTTACATGGGCAGATGCTTTTCCCACTGCTCTTGCAGAAGGCTATATTGATTTATACTCTTCCGCAAACCAGATTTCTGTTCAGTTTGATAATGAAAAGGAAAGTGAGAAGTGATCTGCTCATCACACTCACTTAAGAAATTGTTAGTAGAAGTTTAAGAAGTGTGTGGTTATTTTTTTTGTAAAGATTGTCAAATTCTGGTAGTTAATCTGGATTGTCCAGTTTGAAGCACTACTGCATAGCAGGGTTTCTTTTGCACTTGTTCTTCCAAGTACAAATCCCCAAGAACCCCGGTTTTAAAGGAATACAGATTTTGATAGTCACCAGTCAGATTTTGTTTCCCTTTAAAAAAAGTGTGTGTGTGTGGGGGGGGGGGTCACTTTTACATTCTTCTAAGCCAAGCCCCTAGAGGGTCAGGGAAAAGTATAAAATTTAGTGCCTCCCTGTGGGCACTAAATTAAGTGGAAGCCCACTTGAAAATATAAGGATCTTGCTAAGAGGGAAACTTATCTTCCAAACAAATTCTTCTCAGCTGAAATACTTTCATGGTTTAGGTCGCTCCTGACCAACTGGATTTTACAAACCCAGGGTGGAGGAAGTAAAAAAAAGGTTCTCAAGTCTCTGCTGAACATGGTACAGGGAACACGGTACCTGCTGCCTCTGGCCAGTGAGAACCCTCACTCCATGGGGTCTCACAGCAGAGGCTTAGAAATGTAATAATAATAATAATAATAATAATAATAATAATAATAATAATAATAATACTCTTCCTATGTGTGCTTCTGTGAATGGAGCATATTTGGACAAAAAGGTATAAACAAATGTGTGTGTGTGTGTATGCACTTTTCTGAGTGCACATAAATAAATGGGCAGCCTGTGGCAGCCTCTCCAAGGAGCTGCTATGGAACCTGGAAGGGGGAACTGGTAGCTGTCCAAAGGTTGATGGCAAAACTGACTAGCAAGCTGGTTTAATCTGATCACTGAAAAAAATAAAAAGCCAAAACAGCTGTGGTACTGTTGCAACAAGTCAGAATTATAGTTACAACTTCTTTAACAATATTAATTTTATTAATATTTAACATTAACACATATTAATAATGTAACAAGCATTGGATAAATGTGTAATATCGGAACACTAATTATAACACTACACAAGGACTTAGTTTTCAGGTCACACAAGTGAAGCTGGTTGACTGCAGGATTAAACTCAATTGTTTAACCTGTAAATAAGTCCGAATCTCAAATTCAGATCTCACAATAACAAACATATTCTTGGGTTGCTGATTAGAGCTGATTCAGAGTAAAAGTGATAAGCGCATGGCATGAAGCATGAAGCACATGAAGCACACTTGCTACTGCTCAGCCTCACCCAATTCCTGGGCTAAAGAGCTAAGGAACTGGCTTGATGTTCAAGCTAGTGCAAGTTCTTAATCATAATTTTTGTAGTGCTTTGAATCCCCAGGACATACTGCTTGCATCACCTGTACAGTGAGACAGATAATTAAGTGAGCACATTTATCTGCCATGGAGAATATCTAAAAATCACCATGTCTAGTTATATTTTAATTAGTTAACTTGATGTAGCTGTAGGTCCACACACAGCTGCAATCATATATAGATATAAGCACAATATTATTTGTTGCTAGTACTTAAATATATTTCTTGAAAGTGAAAAATATAACTGATACTACTTTTTGAAATAAATGCCTTGTAGAAAATCAAACCTTTAACAAAATGAGCCTAGAATATATTACCTCAACAGCTTCCCAGCCCCACTGCCGGTACTTTGGGTCATGAGTGAATCGCCACATATACATGTAGGTTTCTATAACTTCGGGCCGCAAAATATAGTATTTTTCATTCTGTCTGGTAGCAATTGCCTCAACTCCACCATCAAACCTAAAAGCTTCTGGTCCCAGCTTCATGCCTAGACAGAAAATGCAATAATCAACAGAGTTAGTGCTTGCTTGAGGGAATTTCAACTTTCTAACATACAAAAAGGATTCTTAATTTAAGTGAAATGTTGATTAGCTTATTACTACACTACAAAAAATATTCTGGCCTTTCCAAACTCCAGCATTCAATGTACGTGCTCTTGAACTAAGTTCCAGTCCTTGGTATGAGGGCATTGATTTTCTGAAAAGCATCTCAATAAAACAAAGCACATCTATCCTATCACAATTACTGACATGCTTAATATAGAATACAAAGGGAGGCTGCACATCATTTTACTTATTTATTTACACTTACAACCCGCATTTTTCTTTTTTGCAAGGACCTCAAGTGGTTTACATAGTCCTCCTCTTCTCTATTCTATCTTCACAACAACCCTGCGAAGTTGGTTAGCCTGTGTGCCACTGACTGGCCCAAATACACTCATGGTACATAGAATTAGGGAACCTGGGACTCCTGAGTCCCAATCCAACACTCGAGCACTATTCTGCACTGGCATTCCTTTATGTGGGATATTTAATAAAATGCTCCAGAGGCAATGTGGTTGAAACAAAACCAAAAGAAACCAATCATATTAAAACTACAGGCAACATTACTTGGCTCAGATGTAACACTAAGCCATGAACTGGTATGATTGAATAACCCCATTTCTTCTATTGAGATTAGAAGGGACTTATGCTAAGCTAAAGGAATATGTGCTTGAAAAAAATGTTTGGGAATATCAAATCTTACTTCGTTGAGTATGTAAGGTCAATAGGTAAAAGAAGATGATATGCAATTAGCAGCATTTGTTCATGTTGATCTGTTTGTTTCAAGTGTGAGACATTGATAGTTATGCTATAGTATGCAATGATCATACTTGCCAAAGTTATTACAAAAGTTTCCATTTTGCCCCAAATACTTCAGTGTACATGGCAATTGACTATTTCTTGTTCAACTGGTTTCTTTGGAACCCTACTAGAAACCAGATAGTTGTAATCAGGAATCAACCTAATCCCAGATATAAGAATGCAGAAAATCTACTTAGGTACATGTTGCATCTTTATTTTATTGTCAAAACAAGCATTTTATATAACTATTTGACTTAATGTTTATGTATATTGGAAAACTGTTTGCAATCTATGGAACTTGTTTTAAAAGGGACAAAATATAATTGTATATTCTATCTGCATGAAACTATGGCTCAAACAATAGATCGAGAGTCCTTTCTACACTTGTGAATCTGCTTATTCAAATTATCCATCCCGTGTTCTGCAGAGCAAAACAGCAAAGGGTCTTCTCTGTGGTGACCCCTATTTCTGGAATGACCTTTCTCTGTGATACCTAATGTTCTGACAATCATGTGCTCTCAATGATTAATGAGTTGTCTGCCCTGGCTTTTCTGAAACATCAACTTGTCTAAATGTTATTGTTCTTTGATGATGATGCATTGTTTTATAATTTGCCATAAAAAAGCTCTCTTGCTCCCTAGTGCATTCCTACAGTGGGCTCCAAACTTAGGCCATCCTTAAGATGGTGCAGGTTTTTTCTTTCTACTTGGTTTCAATGGGAGGGAAAAGACAAGCTGCAAGAAGAATAAAGGGAAAAAAGCCACCATTTCTACACTTTCCACCCTTCTTGCTGTGGAAAGAGCTTTGGATGTGGTGGTGATTCCATGGCAGACACCTCTCCCTCTCATAATCAGAATGCTCTGTTGGTTAAAAAATAGTTTTTGGGAGAGCCATATAGTACTCCTAGCAATCTTAGCTTCAGACTACTCTGCAGGGGGTATTGGTGTCAAAGACATGATATAATCACTAAAAGCAACTTTGCCACTTTTCTCTGGCAGCACAAAGCACACTGCTCTTTCTATCCATTGACACAGGAAAGTAGAAATTATACGCATCAGGAATTCAGTGCAGAAGCTCTTAAGGTATCCATTGGGTACAAAATGCAGAACCAAAATGTACAACATTAAGCATAAGTATAGAAATAAGCTAGTTTGAAAGAATACTCTGGAACAAAGCACTCCAAAGTTATAAAATGCTTACTTGTGCGATCATAAGACTCATGACATGTACGGGCAATTTCGGCACCAAGTTCAATGTGTCGTCCAGTTTTATCATCTGGTGCTCCATCTGCACCCAGAACAAACATCCCTCCAGCAAAACAAGTGAGGTGGCCCATTTTGTGTTCAAGCAGGCCACCCTTCCACTCAGCAATATACATCAAACCAGTGCTAGATTTCCTGATCAGATGGGTCTCTATGGACTAGAAAAGTTTAAAACTGTGTATCAGTATGTGTATCAAAAAATTAAGACAAGCAAAACTAATATCTAAATGCATTTGTTTGTATGCATTATTACTTCAGTACAATATTGTATATGATTTTTATGTTACTTGTACAATACCTATCTACAGAAAACAATGCTAAAGATGCAGAAGAGATATAAAAAACACTCCAAGAAACATATATTGCTGTCATGGAAACCTGAACTGCAAGATTTCACAGGTTTGCAGTCTTGGTGGAGGGCACCTATACATTCAGAGCCCAGTAACAATCCTGAGGATACCGATGAAAAAATATTATGTGCATCATCGGAACATTTTAATATTGTAGATACATACCAGTTTAAGGAGCAGCACTTGCAGAAAGCTTGTCACAAGTATAAAAGTTACGGATATCTGTAAGTTTAGCAACAACCCAAAGAGTCCGGTACAGGCAATCCTCCCCGTTTTTTATCTCACCTCAATCTCAACTTTCCAAATGAAAAACCCAACAAATAAAACATTTATGATGGTCGAAAAACCCACTAGGGAGACTGAGGACAGATGTTCTGGATGCATGCTTGGTACAATGAACTTTTGGCTTTAAAGGAGCAAAATTGTTCCTTAATTACAAAAGCAGCTCACCCTGAGATGCTGAGAAAAGGAGAGCGCTATGACTTTCAGCCATAGCTGCATGTGATTTCCAGGGTTCTGGATCTTCTGCACTTAATGAGGATGTCACATCAAAAGGAAGGGGAAAACTGTCATTTAGAAGGGACTCCTTTCCTGGAGGATGAAATGATGGCCTCTCACACTGTGGATATGCTTCTAAAGGTGAGGGCTCTTAATAGTGGTTGAACCGAACGTAAGAATGAGCTTCCCTTGCTAAGCAGAACATATGTATAATTAGGGCTGCCTACTAATTAAATAGTCCTGGTTAAAATTGAACCTCATTGGCCAAGGCATTTTCTAGGTTCCTTTGCCGGGAAAGCTTGTTGAGAAGAAAGCAGGCAGAGGGCCTTGTATGTGGCAGCACCAAATCTCCACTGAAGCTTGACTGGTGCCATCATTTTGGTGCCAGCTTGAAACATATTTGTCCATGTAATTTAAAATGCTAAGATGGTTTAGTTTGCTTTGTTTACTGCAGTATAATGAAAAATATTTTTATGCCTCTGCTATACCACAATGATAATTATGAAGCGTGGGTTAAACATATTTTTTACTAGCTAAATAAAGCAGGAGGCTTGGATCTAAAAGGCCACTGCATAAACGGGCATTTTTCATTGTCTGGCAGCAGTCCTCACACCAGCTGCTTGAGGGACATCAAGAGCTGCATTATAGAGGAATGAGTGACTGCTACAGCAAGTTCCAGAAGCGCGTTCGCAGAAGCGCACTGCATGTGCTGTGGTCTCTTTTGAGTCTGGCCTTAGTTGAGATTCTGATTAAATTACTTAAGAAGTGGCAGCCTAACTTATTATGCTTTCTTTTATTTGACAGCAAGAGCCATATTTAGTACAGTCTTTCAGAATCTTACATGTATTTTCTTTTTGCTTAATCAATCCCCCCTCCAAGCTCTATCTTCATTGAACAGCCATAAAAATACATCTTAGTCACAACAGCCACATAGGGCTTCATTCAAAAATAAAGATTTTCAATATTCAGTTATTTTTCTTCCCTGCAGAGATGGAGAAAACAATGCTGCAAGGTCACTGCTGGTATTTTGAAGAGTAAAGATATTTTAATGTAGAAGCGATTGAAAAGGCTAAGTGTCACCATAAAATGTAAAGGCTACATCTTAACTGGCAAATTCTTCACACTTTTGTTAAATTTACAATACTTCCCCTTTTGCCAAGCAGCATATAGAAGCAAGCCACATGCTTTATTACTACTGCATATCTTTGGGCAGATCGGGAGTCTTGAACCAGTCATACAACTGAGGAACACAGGGAAGGACCTCTAGGTAAATAGTCACTGCAATGTTAAGAAAGATGTAGGAGTGTTGTTCTCCAACTCCATTCCACATTCATGTGGTTAGGTTCAGATATCAACAACTGTAAATGGAAAATCCTTTTCCATCCATGGGATCTTCCTGGCAGAAGGTGGGGAGGGTGATGTAACTGATCCTCTTTTCTACAAAGGAACCCAGTGCCATTTCCAACACTATTTCAGAGGGGTTGATACGGGACTAAGAAAGGTAATTTTTCTCCTTCCATCAGTGAGAATGCCCCTAAGTGGAGCTATGTTCAGGAGAAGCTCCAGTTGGTGGAAGGTAGGTTTGGAGGCAGACTTCCAATGAGGAAAAAGGACGAATTTACAGAAAGTTAATACTGGTAGATGAAGCTATGCAAAATATTTGTAGAAGAAATGTATATTTAAGGCATTTAATTTTGAAGCCATTTAAAAAATACAGATACCCTACTACTGTCCTAATCTTATTTCTTTAGCAGCAGCTATATTAGATCATCTTAAGTAGATTTATGTATTTTTATTACCTGAACAGCATCATAATACATTTGCTTGCCTTCCTCATCTGTCTTATCTGACATCAGCCATGCCTTAAGCAAGTATTCATAAAAGCTATCTCCAAGCCCTCCAATGGAGACATGATCTGAAAAAAAGCAGTGGAAAGCACTCTATAGTAATTTCACTTTCAATTTAGGCATGCACATAGATACCTAATTCCAAAGTAAGATAGAGGAACTGCACTATAACTTCATATAGCAAAATCTGAGATCAGCAAGAGGTCCTTCACACAAAACAGGTTTTGTATGATAAGCTGATTCTGTATAAATCCAATTATACCATGTTACTTTACAACATAGCGTTCTATGAATGTAAAAGAACTCAACGCATTTGGCCTATTTACTTAAACTCTTTCCCTCCCAGAAAAGTGTTCACATTGGACCAACTTATTTTATTATCTTTAACATGTTAGTGGAAGCAAATGACAATCAAATGCAGTGTACAGAGTTATCTGAGACCAAATGCTGAACAAATATTAATTTTTGACTCAGCTTTTTAGGCTTGATTTTAAGTTCTGTGGTACTAAAGGAGGAAAGAGTACTCATGTTCCAAATCTATATACTGGATAAAATCTTAGAAGTTATTAGAGGTAGACAGACAGTACTGCCTTAAGCATGTCAAGATGAAGATCCAGAACTGCAAACTGACAAAATGGAAATAAATCCTTATTAACTGCTAACAATGAAGAATTCTGATGAAATACTGTATCACATGCATTCTGTTTCAGTTCAGCAACATCCTGAGGGCCACACATTCCCCAAGTTTGCATTAAAAATCCTCAAGGCTATGGAAAGACATGCTTTAAAATGTTGGATACAAACATATGCACAATCTACTTTTTCTCCTATTAAAGGTTTCGACTTTAGGTGTGTTTCTCTGTCCATCAGCCTGTGACCTGGTATTTAGTTTTCTTAAATGTTACCTTTGATATCCCTTTCCAAAGAAATGTTCTGTGATGGTAAGATAGGATTACAAAGAGCTAATGAAAGAGGACAGTTTTTAAAAGTAAAGAAATACCTCATTAATTACACAAGTGTCCACAGTATAAAGAGGAAAGAAACTCTCCTCAAAGGCATGAGAGCGTCTGTGTGATGGAAGGCTGATCTCTGAATAGCAGCATTTAAATGACCTTTACAGTTTCCTAAATGAATTACCTCAGAAACTCTTGACATTTGCAGACTAAATAGCACAAGCAGAGTCTCATCAATAATAAGTCCTGCTATTATATCCATTATTGGTAGAGACAAATCTAATTGACCCATGATGCGGCAAATCACTTTCAATTTACTACCAAAGCAACAAAGGCTAAATAAATGTACAGGAACGATAGCAATAAAACCACTGCTGACCTTCGGAGATCTAATGCAGCTAATCTAACAGTAAGAGAAGGTACTAGCCTGGTTCAGATGTTAGGAAAACCAAGATTTTGGGTTGCCACATAAAAACTCCAACATGATGGTTTAACTTTAGGCTTAAAGTTAACCCTGGAAAAGAACTCATCTACCAATGGTTTTTTAGTAGGTTGTGGATGCTAAGCTATTCATCGTTAAAGGTAAAAGGTAAAGGTTCCCCCTTGACATTAAGCCCAGTCATGCCTGACTCTAGGGGGCAGTGCTCATCTCCATTTCCTAGCTGAGGGAGCCAGCGTTTGTCCACAGACAGTCTCCGTGGTCATGCGGCCAGCATGACTAAACACCGAAGTGCACGGAATGCTGTTACCTGCCCACC